GAAAGAAAGGAAAACAGCTTGTTAACTTTGATTATCAAAGTGTAAATTCTCTTTGCTTGTGCCATCATTACGTCAACAGCTCGTGCTAGTTCCATCGAGTTATAGCAACACGATTTTTAACCAATCAGCGCCAAATTTTCTTAGGACTGTTTTCTAAAATGCATTACAACACACCAAATTAAGTGAAAATACTAAATTTTACCAAGGGTAAAATTGAACCACAAAAAATGGAATGCATGGACATTTTATTGGTTATTTATTGACATGGCTATTTTACAATGCATTATTACCTGGGACGTCATCATCATCAACCTCCTCAGTCAGAGCTGGTACATGGCCAACATCAGCTGTGAAAGAGACAACAATACACCAGTTAAAAGATCAAAACCATTAACAAATTGGTCTTAGAGTGTATTACTTACATTTTATGTACTGTAAATGGAATGTAATAGAGTTGGCCCCTGTTAATCCAAACTTGGTTATTTCAAATTCCTGTTATTTCAAACTCAACCGATTTCCCTTGGATTTGCCCTTGTTTTTTCAGTCACTTACTATCGCTATTTCAAATTGTGTTATTTAAAACTCCCCGCTATTTTCTAACTGTTTTTCTGTTTCCTTGGCCTAACATCACCCTATTTATTTCAAACCGTGAAAAATAAACATTGTCATGATGTCAGACCATGTTAGCAAAATAATACAAAATGTAACTGGAAAACTAAAATTTTGGCTTTTATTTTGGGTGTTCTCAAAAATCCATTCCATCATCTTAACCACTATTTTGAACTATTTTTCTTTCACAGTGGTCACAAGTGTTATCTCACCTGGTGGAAATTTCTCAGCCAGCCGCCTCAAATTGGTCAAGCTATCATTACCCTTAACACAAGAAACAAAACAAGCATTAGTGTCACCTTAAACAAAATAGTTGTACTTTGGGGAGTTGTACTTTTGAGAGAGGGGTGGATGATTTTGAAAAAAAATCCTGAAGCATACTCCCATACCAAAAAATTTCATGCGCACGACCACTGCCAGAAAAAAAATTTACACATGCTTAGTGAGCCAAAAAAAGTAATGCTACATGAAGCAAACAATATCATACATAAACAGTAAGAGTAAGAACCTTTGTTCTTACCCACACCTCCCTATATTTTGAGCTTTTTCCTATTAAAGTTTCAGTTACAATTTACAGCATAAATGAGCTCTGGACTGAAAGAATTTGAGCTCTTTACTATTAGTCAGCATTGCAGTTACTTGAAGTAGCCTAATAATGTAAATGTGAACCTTAAAATTTACCCTATTGTAAGTTAGTCAAACTCATTCTCTCTTTTGTCGAGGCTGAAACAGTGCTGGAAATAACAGTTGGTTATCAGATACTGTCTGACTAATTTTACAATAAAGTCATGAAGATCTCACTGTACGACCATCTTTGCTTTGAAGCATGACAAAAATTAAACTCATACCATTTTGTGGTTTGTTAAATGCTTTAACAACCTCTCCAGGTTTTTATGAAGTGTGAAACAAATATCAGTTTTGCTTTGAAAATTGCCTCGTAGTGCATTGCTTAAGGTTCTTACTACTTTATGTATAGCTATCGAATGAGTCATCGGATGAGTTGTATACATAAACAATGGGTATGTACCGGTACATGTACATAGAATGCTAATCAATGTCCAACCAAATTTGCGATGTGTCTGAACAAAAGAGAGATTGAATTGACACTTAAGCTGTTACATAATAATAAAAATTATTTCCAGCACTGAAAAGGAACCATGATAAGCTGCAAGCTGCTTTACTGTGCTAAGCAGAAAAGGAAAGTTCATCATCAGTACGTTGAACCACGCATCTTTCAGAACAGAGTACTTACCAACTGATTCAAAATTCCAGGAAGCAATTCAGTGATTGCTAAAAAAAAAAAGGACATCACTTGAGTTAGGATACAACAAGCCACACTGCAGTTCAGCCAAACACAGAAATTATTCTATTCTATTGGAATGCTTCTGGTAGAGTGCCCATAGTTCTTAAATAAGTTAGACATCTTTCAGAATAAGACCCCTTTGTCAAGAAGACTGAATACCCACACAATAAAGTTATTTTACCACATGAAACAGGGCTGGAAATAACCACTGGCCACATTGTTGCATTGGGTTGCCTGCATGCCTAGCTGCCATTGCGTTGCATTGCCTAGTCTTTCATTTTGTGACACGATGTGAGATGACACTCAGGTAGAATTTATGTGGCTGGTAATCTTTACAAGCAACCATGTAACCATTATTTCCAGCCCAGAGAGAACAATATGTACAAAAAGATAAAACCTGAAACTAATCACTAATCCTGACTAATCCAATTTGGTGCTTTATAGCCTACTACTTTGGAAATCCTTCCTGCTACGGCAAAATATCTTACAGGGCTGCCTTTCACTTGCCTACATGCAAATTACTGATGCCACTGTGGTTGGGAAGTTAAAATGTCCAACAATAAAAATCTCAATGCCTTAGTAGCTTGATGACAACATGATACTTCTACTTCACAAAAAGATGGAAAGTGTCAAGAAGAAAAAAAGAAGGGCTAATTTTGTTAAAACTATTGAAGTTCGTCCTCATTACTTACATTTATTTTCAGACTGACCAACCACTGCAAAAATGTTAGATCCAAGGGAAGCTTGCACTAAATACAACAGAACAACTCAAAGTTAGGTTAACAGCACAAGGAAGACACATGAAAGTATCACATGAAATGTTAAAACGCTGGAGTGAGAAGTTTGAGGGTTGTGCCATCCCTTATATCTCCTAAAGTGACTTGAAGTATCAAATCTTATCATGTGAGAAGGTAGTCTTGAGGTAAATCAAAGTATTGTAAATCCTTGAATTAGCACCCAGGGTGCTTATTTCAAATTTAGGAGAAGATGGGG